ATGCCCCTGCAAATTACTATATGTTGGAATAACTACTAGACCCCTTAAAATTAGGATAAATGAACATCGTTCACGCATTAGGAATGGGTCCACTGACTCTTCATTATATGTACATTTTAATGAAAAAGCACATACACACCATAGCTTTAAATTTTGCGCTTTGGAAAAAATAGTACCCAGACCTAATGCAGATACAAAAAAACTCCTTCTGCAAAGGGAATCTTTTTGGATCTTCAAACTACAAACACTGGTTCCTCTAGGACTAAATGATAAAATTGAATACACTTGTTTCTTGTGAGATGTAATTCTACTTAAGAGACAGCCCAGCTATGACTCACTGCTCGTTACAGAACTCCTACTACTACAGAGCCTGTAGTACAGAACCTGTATTACTGAAGAGAATGTAAGTAGAGTAACGTGTATCTTTACTGTTATTACAAAATGTTTTTCTAATCAATGTTATTTTGGGGAGTTTCATGTATCTATGTTGTATGTTATTTCTACTCCTTATTTAGTGCACTAAGCATAATAAGATACAGACTACACCCTGAGGAAGATATTGTTCGAAACAAGGATAAACATACCGGAAGACCTTGTTGAGATTTTGTTGCCTATGAAAGACCTTGTTGCCCAAGAAGAATTCCTTGAGACTGTCTTATCAAAAGAAGAATTTTTTTTTTTTTGAAGATAAAGATAGAGACTCTGGAATTTCTTCACTGAAAGGATGGACTCTATTACCTTTAGTCTGTTGTTGATTTCTCTATGTTAATGTGCTGATAACATATTTATTTAATGCTATAAAGTCTCAGACAAGTTATGCCAATAGAGAACATAGAATACTGTTGTATATTACTGTCTTGAGAGTCTGCTAAGATTTACATACATACATTTTTGTTCTTTGTCATTTGAGATACTTGTGCATTGTTTGCTTATTTGCCATTACTATGGCTGACGGCCGGGGTACCCTAAGTTTTGATGACACATTCATTTCTGATCTAATTAAGAATAGATCTATTCTAGATGACCAATCCCTAGCTCAGTCCGCACAACCCCCAAACACTTTAATGGAATATGAAAAGATTAAGAAAAAATTGATCCGTTTGGACCTACACGCGTCTACTCTAGCTGATTATATTAAGAATAATATGATACCCAGGGGCCTCCGAGTGTACAAACCTCCGGGAATGTTCTTAGAAGATATTGATTTTGTTAATAATTGGAATTTGATTTTGAACAAATGTTCTAAGGATTTAATGGCACTCATCATCCAGAAAGCTAATTCCCTGACTGTGGAATATGAGGGTAAACTTACTACTCTAGCAGAGGACATAAATAAAGTAGAACAAAACCAATCTCATCTACAAGAAATTGATAAGAAATGTAAAGAACTTTACTCACAAATTAAGGAATTTAAAATCAAAAAGTTTAATAGAGACAGAGCTGATTATGACAATAATAGGGTCTACAATTGGAAAACCCGTTCTACTTCCTCTAGTACAGGGAAAAGGAGGGTTCGCTTTGAAACAGATTCTCTTGACCCTTATTCCACCACTGAAGAAGACCCAGGGAAGTCTACGGATAGTTCCACTACTTCCACTAGTCCAATACTACCACGACGATCATATAGAATTAAATCTAAACCACCCACTCACCATTTTCAGAGGGGTTCATACAGAAAAGCTCCTCCCTAGTGGTAAATCTTTCTAACTACCCTCTCTCATCACAAGAGGAAGAGTTAATTAATAAGGGACTAAGTTTTGTTCCCACTCCCAGATACAATCCATTCCACACCAGGGTTGAACTATTTAAGTTGTTTAGAACTATTAGATTAAAACACTTTTTTGGCAATAAGACGGATTCCAAGCCTGAAACTTTGTTCAAACCTAAAAACAAATTCTACCCTAACACTGATAATATGATGATAAAAACATTTGAAAAAGTTGTGGAACGGGACATTAGCAGACTATCCAAATCCAGGTCCAAAACCTTTCCGAATATGTCTATGACTGAATTGAATACCATTAAAAGACTAGCAAACATGCCACAATATATTTGGAAACCAGCTGATAAGGGAGGGGCGGTGGTATTGCTGAATAGAATTGACTATGTTAAGGAAGTAGAAAGACATCTCTCTAACAACATGTTCTATAAATGTATTCCTAAGGATCCCATTAATAAAATTAGATCCCTTATACGTACAGTATGTGCTGAAGGTCTCTCACTGGGATATATTTCATTACAGACATATGAGTTCCTTCAGAATCCATACCCCAGAACACCGGTATTTTATGTTCTCCCGAAGATTCACAAAAGAACCTTTCCTCCACCAGGTAGACCTATCGTTTCAGGCACTGCATCTATTTTGGAACCTTTAGCTCAGTTTATTGACCATTTTTTGCAACCTTTTGTACCATTAAATACATCATTTATCAAAGACACCAAACATTTCATCAATATAATAGAAGCCCTAACTATACCTGAGCAAGCCATACTCATGACCTTAGATATTGAAGCCCTATATACAAACATACCTTTAGATGAGGCCAGAGCAGTAGTTAAAGATATACTTGACACACGCAAATCTCCAGTTCCTCCCACTCACTTCCTCATGGATTTGCTAGACATTGTGCTAGAATACAACTATTTTAGTTTTGATAAACAATTTTATTTACAAACATTCGGAATCGCTATGGGTAGCCCACTTGCACCCGCTATAGCCAATTTATTCGTTGCATACTTAGAAAATAAATTCATCTTTAATACCACTAAGAATCCATTTTCTTCAGATATCCTTTATTTTGGAAGGTATCTAGATGATATATTTACAGTAGTGAGATCACAGTCAGTAGCTGACCTATTCTACAGCTGGATTAATACACTACATAAACACATGAAATTTACACACCACTATAGCCCTACTAATGTTAACTTTCTGGATGTCATGGTTTTCAAAAATGGTCAGAAACTACTAGTGAAAAATTATAGTAAACCTACAGATAAGAATTCTTTTTTACATTTTTCCAGCTTCCATCACTTTTCTCTTAAATCCAATTTACCATTTTCTCAGTTTTTAAGACTGAAACGTAATTCTAGCACACAAAAGGACTTTGAATCTACGGCAGGTATCCTGAAAAAACAACTAAGAGAGAGAGGATACCCTAATAGCATACTCAACACAGCCATGAACAAGGCAAACTCCATCAACAGAGGTGAATTACTACAGGAACGCCCTAGAAAACATAACAACCGCATAATATGGCCTTTGACACTGACACAATATTCATCCAAAATCACTAAGATTATTTCAAAGCACTGGCATTTACTACAGGACATTCCTGGATGCAAAGACAAACCAATAATTGCCCACAAAAGATCCAGAAATTTAAGGGACCTTATGATCCACTCTGAATATAACACTCCTAATACATCCCATGAACCTACCACTAGGGGTCACACTAGCTGTGGACACTGTAACTGCTGCCAGCAATCACTTAAGAGTAAAATATACTCTCATCCAACACTCAATATTAATGTCACATTACGACATTTGACAACATGTTCCAGTGATAATGTAGTGTACCTGTTAGAATGCCCCTGCAAATTACTATATGTTGGAATAACTACTAGACCCCTTAAAATTAGGATAAATGAACATCGTTCACGCATTAGGAATGGGTCCACTGACTCTTCATTATATGTACATTTTAATGAAAAAGCACATACACACCATAGCTTTAAATTTTGCGCTTTGGAAAAAATATTACCCAGACCTAATGCAGATACAAAAAAACTCCTTCTGCAAAGGGAATCTTTTTGGATCTTCAAACTACAAACACTGGTTCCTCTAGGACTAAATGATAAAATTGAATACACTTGTTTCTTGTGAGATGTAATTCTACTTAAGAGACAGCCCAGCTATGACTCACTGCTCGTTACAGAACTCCTACTACAACAGAGCCTGTAGTACAGAACCTGTATTACTGAAGAGAATGTAAGTAGGGTAGCGTGTATCTTTACTGTTATTACAAAATGTTTTTCTAATCAATGTTATTTTGGGGAGTTTCATGTATCTATGTTGTATGTTATTTCTACTCCTTATTTAGTGCACTAAGCATAATAAGATACAGACTACACCCTGAGGAAGATATTGTTCGAAACAAGGATAAACATACCGGAAGACCTTGTTGAGATTTTGTTGCCTATGAAAGACCTTGTTGCCCAAGAAGAATTCCTTGAGACTGTCTTATCAAAAGAAGAATTTTTTTTGAAGATAAAGATAGAGACTCTGGAATTTCTTCACTGAAAGGATGGACTCTATTACCTTTAGTCTGTTGTTGATTTCTCTATGTTAATGTGCTGATAACATATTTATTTAATGCTATATAAAGTCTCAGACAAGTTATGCCAATAGAGAACATAGAATACTGTTGTATATTACTGTCTTGAGAGTCTGCTAAGATTTACATACATACATTTTTGTTCTTTTCCTCCACCACAGACATCCCAGTGTTTCTGACTCTCTCCATTGGTGTGGAATTATAGTGAGCGCCGTAAACATGCCCAATGTCCTCCACAAACACCACACTGCCCACCACCCAAGGGACAATTCCATCATAGATTACATGTGTTTCCTCCACCACAGACATCCCAGTGTTTCTGACTCTCCCCATTGGTGTGGAATTATAGTGTGTGCTGTAAACATATCCAATGTCCTCCACAATCACCACACTGCCCACCACCCAAGGGAAAATTCCATCATAGATTACATGTGTTTCCTCCACCACAGACATCCCAGTATTTCTGACTCTCTCCATTGGTGTGGAATTATAATGAGAGCCGTAAACATGTCCAATGTCCTCCACCAACGCCACACTGCCCACCACCCAAGGGAAGGATTTCATATGAGGACAGTCCCATCCTAGATTGTATGTCTTTCCTCCACCACAGACATCCCTGGTCATCAATCCCTTCAGTCTGTAGATCCAGGAGGAGGGACTCACCTGCCACGAGGAACCAGTCCATGTAGTTCACCAGGTTGAGGAAGCACAGCACGGCCACCACCAGGTACGACCTTCTGGTGGGGGTCTTGGTGGGCCCCCAAAGTTCTCCCATAGTGCCATAGGCCTTCAAGGAGAGCGGGGACAGGGGTGGCAGGCCCGCGGCGGACCCCTCCGGCAGCACCATCGTGGCCCCCGGGGTGAGATCTCCAGCCGCGGCTCGGGCAGGACGCCCCACTTCTGCACTTTGGAGGAACCTCGCTCTGCTCAGTCATTTCCTGCAGGGAAGCAGAGAGCTTCCCCTATGAGAAGGTTGCAAGCCAGCAGAGGAAAGCAGGTTGCTTCATGGGCCAAAACCGCTTGGCTGTGCGTTTGGGAGTTGTAGTTCACTTCCATCCAGAGAGCACTGTGGACTCAAACAATGATGGATCTGGACCAAACTTGGCACGAATACTCAATATGCCCAAATGCGAACACTGGTTGAGTTTGGGAAAAATAGACCTTGGCATTTGGGAGTTGTAGTTGCTGGGATTTATAGTTCACCTCCAATCAAACAGCATTCTGAACTTCATCAACGATGGAACTGAACCAAACTTGACACACAGGACTCCCATGACTAATAGAAAATAGTGAAAGGGTTTGGTAGTCATTGACCTTGAGTTTGGGAGTTGTAGTTCACCTACATCCAGAGAGCACTGTGGACTCAAACAATGATAGAACTGGACCAAACTTGGTATCAATACTCAATATGCATAAATGTGAACACTGCTTGACTTTGGGGAAATCAGACCTTGGCATTTGGGAGTTGTAGTTGCTGGGATTTATAGTTCACCTACAATCAAAGAGCATTCTGAACTCCACCATGATGGAATTGAACCAAACTTGGCACACATAACTCCCACGACCAAGATAAAATAATGGAAGGGTTTGGTAGTCATTGACCTTGGGTTTGGGAGTTGTAGTTCACCTACATCCAGGGAACAATGTGGACTCAAACAATGATGGGTCTGGACCAAACTTGGCACAGATACTCAATATGCACCAATGATAGAATTGAACCAATCTTGGCACACAGAACTCCCACGGTCAAGATAAAATACTGGAAGGGTTTGGTGGAAATTGACCTTGGGTTTGGGAGTTGTAGTTCACCTACATCTAGCGAGCACTGTGGACTTTAACAATGGTGGATCTGGACCAAACTTGGCACGGATACTCAATATGCACCAATGATAGAATTGAACCAATCTTGGCAGACAGAACTCCCACAACTAAGATAAGATACTGGAAAGGTTTGGTGGGCATTGACCTTGAGTTTGGGAGTTGTAGTTCACCTACATCCAGAAAGCACTGCGGACTCAAACAATGATGGATCTGGAACAAACTTGGCACAAATACTCAATATGCCCAAATGTGAACACTGGTTGAGTTTGGGGAAAACAGACCTTGGCATTTGGGAGTTGTATTTGCTGGGATTTATAGTTCACCTAAAATCAAACAGTATTCTGAACTACACCAATGATGGAATTGAACCAATCTTGGCACACAGAACTCCCATGACCAAGATAAAATACTGGAAGGGTTTGGTGGGATTTGACCTTGAGTTTGGGAGTTGTAGTTCACCTACATCCAGAGAGCGCTGTGGAATCAACAGTGAGGGATCTGGGCCAAACTTGGTATGAATACGCAATATTCCCAGATGTGAACACTGGTGGATTTTGGAGAGAAATGGACCTTGACATTTGGGAGTTGTAGTTGCTGGGATTTATAGTTCACCTACAATCAAGGAGCATTTTGAACTCCACCAACGATGGAATTGAACCAGACTTGGCAGACAAAACTCACATGAACAGTAGAAAATACCAGAAGGGTATTTGTGTTTGGGAGTTGTAGTTCACCTACATTCAGAGAACACTGTGGACAAACAATGATGGATCTGGACCAAACTTGGCACAAATACTCAATATGCCCAAATGTGAACATTGGTAGAGTTTGGGGGAAATAGACCATGTCATTTGGGAGTTGTAGTTGCTGGGATTTATAGTTCACCTACAATCAAAGAGCATTCTGAACCCCGCCAACGATGGAATTAAACCAACCTTGGCATACAGAACTCCTGCAACCAAGGTAAGATACTGGAAGGGTTTGATGGGCATTGACCTTGAGTTTGGGAGTTGTCGTTCACCTATATCCAGAGAGCACTGTGGACTCAAACAATGATGGATCTGGACCAAACTTGGCACAAATACTCAATATGCCCAAATGTGAACACTGGTAGAGTTTGGGGAGAATAGACCATGACATTTGGGAGTTGTAGTTGCTCGGATTTATAGTTCACCTACAATCCAAGAGTATTCCGAACCGCACCAACGATGGAATTGAACCAGACTCGGCAAACAGAACTCACATGACCAAGAAAAAATACTGGGAGGGTTTGGTGGGCATTGACTTCTGCCAAGTCAAGAGGTTTCTAGTCCCATGTTTCCTGTCAGTTCATGTTTTTGAGGACCGTTTCCGAATCCCATGTTTTGGATTTATTCTGCTTTTGTATTCATAGTTCACAATGCTGCTTCTGTATTTTGATTTCTGTGGATGTTTTTTTGCACAACCCCTCTCCCTGGGACCAGAGGACCAAACCCCAGCATCGTCCTTTTCGGAATTCTTTTTATTAATAATTATTATTGCCGTTACTCAGTACAAACACATTAATACAACTGGTTATCCAAAATATATATAATATATTAAAATAATAATTATTATAATGATAATAATAAAAGAGAGCATGTGTGTGCATTTATTTCCCCTTTAAAGAGCTCTGAGCAGGTTAAAGGCACAGCCCTCAACGTCTAGGAAAGGCTCGGCAATGGCGGCTGATATCCCTGAATTCTCCAAAGCCTGTTTTCGGGCCAACGAGAGCGAAGGAAAAGAGTAGTTTTTGTTTTGGCTTAAAGCTCTTCTGCCAAGAGGAAGGATCCCTCCCCAATAGAGCTCAACAGAACCCCACTTTTGGTCCCCGGCTCCCAAAATCCCCGCCATTTCGCCTGTCTCTCCCTATCCTTCGAGAAATGTACGGACACCAGGTTTATCTCCAAGCAAAATAATGGTTATTATCAATTATTAATAAGCATTTCCCATAAGCACCATTATTAATAATCATTAAGAACTGTCACCACAATAATTATTATTAGTGTTTACTGCCATCATTAATACTTGATAAATGATCATTACTAATGATGGTGACCAATAATAATGCTAATGGGGATCAATAATAATGATGAATGATCATTATTAATGATGGTGACCAAAAACAATAATAAATGATCATTATTAATGATGGTAACTAATAATAATGATAAATGGCCATTATTAATGACGGCGACCAATAATAATGATAAATTATCGTTATTAATGATTGGGATCAATAACAATGATAAATTATCATTATTAATTATGGTGATCAATAATAACGATAAATGATCATTATTAATGATGGTAACTAATCATAATGATAAATTATCGTCATTAATTATGGTGATCAACAATAATGATAAATGATCATTACTAATGATGGTGATCAACAATGATAAATGATAATTATTAATTATGGTAATTAATAATAAATGATCATTATTAATGATGGTGACCAATAATAATGATGAATGATCATTATTAATGACAGCGACCAATAATAATAATAAATGATCATTATTAATTATGGTGATCAATAACAATGAAAAATGATCATTATTAATGAGGGTGACCAATAATAATTAATGATGGTGACCAATAATAATGATAAATGATCATTATTAATGATGGTGATCAATAATAATGATAAATTTTCATTAATGATGGTGATCAATAATAATTATAAATTATCATTATTCATAATGATGGCCAATAATAATGATAAATGATCATTATTAATGACGGCAACCAATAATAATTACAAATGATCATTATTAATGATGGTGACCAATAACAATGATAAATGATAATTATTAATGATGGCGACCAACAATGATAAATGATAATTATTAATGATGGTGACCAATAACAATGACAAATGATAATTATTAATGATGGTGACCAATAATAATTACAAATGATCATTTTTAATGATGGTGACCAATAATATTGATTAATAATGATTAATGATGGCGCTCAATAATAATGATGCATGATGGTGATCAATAATAATGCTGATAATTAGCTATTATTAATTTGCCATTCAAATTCTTTGGCTTTTTAAAAAGGGATGTCCTGCTACTTCTCCCCAAGGCATAGCAAGGGTGAAACTAGATCTCTCCGATACACAGAGAGTCCCCAATAGCTGCTTCTTCCCTTGGGAGTTGTAGTTCACCTGCTCTCAGAGAGGCCCGACTTTGGAGACGTGTCACACCTTTGTTGTGACCAACAGCGGGCGAAGGGTGGTCTGAGGTCCTCCGGCCCCTCCTGCCTCCCCGGCGGTCACTTGTCCTTCTCCCGCTGGCCGGAGGCGAGGAAGTCGCTGCGCAGGAGTCGGCAGAAGAGGATGATGTTCATGGGCATCATGATGGACATGCCCACCAGGCTGAGGGCGTAGGGCCCCGTGGGGACGACCTCTCGGTGCAGCACCAGCCAGCGCGTCATCCAAGCCAAGGTGCTGATGCGGAAGACCAGGTAGGTGCCCAGGTTGAGCAGCCGCGTCAGGCGGTAGGAGGCGGCCCCCGGAGCCTTGCCGGCCATCCGCAGCAGGCTGCGCAGGTGCAGGAAGACCGAGTTGACCTCCACCAGCAGGGCCACCATGGCAAAGCCCACAAAGCGGCCGGTCAGGAAGGCAAAGCCGAAGCAGACTATCACCTGGGGAGGAGGAGGGGAAGGGTCGGGAAGTCTGTGGGGGCCGTGGAAAGGAACAACATCTGGAGAGCAGACTAGAATGATAACGTATTGTCGAAGGCTTTCATGGCTGGAATCACTAGGTTCTTGTGGGTTTTTTCGGGCTATATGGCCATTTTCTCCTGACGTTTCGCCTGCATCTATGGCAAGCATCCTCAGAGGTAGGGAGGTCTGCCAGGCGCGCAACCACACTACCTCTGAGGATGCTTGCCATAGATGAAGGCGAAACATCAGGAGAAAATGCCTCTAGAACATGGCCCTATAGCCTGAAAAAACCCATAAGAACCTAGAATGATAATATTATCCATCATTAATTATTATTGTCATCTATTCTTAGGGTTGGAGGGGATCCCAAAAGCCACCTAGTCCAAACCCTTTCCTCCAGGACGGAAGATAGAACTAGAATTATATTATTATCTATCTTTAATTATTATTGTCATCTTTCATTACTATTATTATTAATTATTAGGGTTGGAGGGGACCCCAAGGGCTATCTAGCCCAACCCTTTCCCACCAGGATGGAAGACAGAACTAGAATTATATTATCCATCATTTATTATTATTATTATTATTATTATTATTATTATTATGAATTCTTAGGATTAGAGGGGACCCCAAGGGCCATCTAGTCCAATCCTTTCCCACCAGGACAGAAGATAGAACTAGCATTATATTATTATTCATTATTATTATTATTATTATCTTTTATTACTGCTATTACTATTATTATTAATAATTCTTAGGGTTGGAGGGGACCCCAAGGGCCATCTAGTCCAACCCCTTTCCACCAGGACGGAAGATAGAACTAGAGTTATATTATTATCCATCATTATTATTATTTATTATTATTATTATTCTATTATTATTATTAATTCTTAGGATTGGAGGGGACCCCAAGGGCCATCTAGTCCAACCCTTTTCCACCAGGACAGAAGATAGACCTAGAATTATATTATCTATCATTAATTATTATTATAATCTTTTATTACTGCTATTACTATTATTATTAATTCTTAGGGTTGGAGGGGACCCCAAGGGCCATCTAGTTCATCCCTTTTACACTAGGACAGAAGATAGAACTAGAATTATATTATTATCCATCATTTATTATTATTATTATTATTATTATTATTATTATTATCATCTTTTATTACTACTATTATTTATTTATTTATTTACGACATTTATATGCCGCCCTTCTCATCCCAAAGGGGACTCAGAGCGGCTTACAAGGTATATATACATACAATATATTATTAACATAGTACCATATCAGTTTTAAATATTGCTATATTGCACTATATCAATTATACTGTAATATTATTAGTAATATTACATGTAATATAAATATATAATTATAATATATTATTAGTAGTAGTATTATTATATTGCATTACATTACAATATTATAAATATTACTATTACCATTACCATTATTATTATTATTATTTCTTAGATTATGGTTGGAGGGGACCCCAAGGGCCATCTAGTCCAACCCCTTTCTACCAGGACGGAAGACAGAACTAGAATTATATTATTATCCATCATTAATTATTGTTATAATTATTATTATCTTTTATTATTATTATTATTATTATTATTAATTATTAGATTAGGGTTGGAGGGGACCCCAAGGGCCATCTAGTCCAACCCCTTTCCACCAGGACAGAAGATAGAACTAGAATTATATTATTATCTATTATTATTATTATTATTATTATTATTATTATTATTATTATTATCTTTTATTACTACTATTACAATTACCATTATTATTATTAATTCTTAGCTTAGGGTTGGAGGGGACCCCAAGGGCCATCTAGTCCTACCCTTTCTCACCAGGACGGAAGAGAGAACTAGAATTATATTATTATTCATTATTATTATTATTATTATCTTTTATTACTACTATTACTATAAATATTATTAATTCTTAGCTTAGGGTTGGAGGGGACCTCAAGGGCCATTTAGTCCAACCCTTTTCCATCAGGATGGAAGATAGAACTAGAATTATATTATTATCCATCATTAATTATTATTGTCATGTGTCACCTGTCACATCAGCACTTTTGATTCTGTACCCATTACTCTGGCCCTGCCCAGTTTTATTGTGTCTTAGTGTATTGTTTGTTGCTTGTGTTTAATATTGCTTTAACTGTTTTTAATTTGCTTTAGGTGTTGTATTGTTATGTTGTGTTTTGAGGCCTTGGCCTTTGTAAGCCGTATCGAGTCCTTCGGGAGATGCTAGCGGGGTACAAATAAAGTTAATAATAATAATAATAATATTTCATTATTGCTATTATTATTAATTCACAAAGGGGAACCCAAGGGCCATCTAGTCCAACCCCTTTCCACCAGGACAGAAGACAGAAGTAGAATTATATTATTATCCATCATTTGTTGTTGTTGTTGCTGTTATTATCATCATCATCTTTTATTACTGCTAATATTAATTCACAGAGTTGGAGGGGACCCCAAGGGCCATCTAGTCCAACCCCTTTCCACCAGGACAGAAGACAGAACTAGAGTTACATTATTATTCATCATTAATTACTACTCTAATCTTTCATTACTGATATTTTATTAATTCATAGAGTTGGAGGGGACCCCAAGGGCCATCTAGTCCAACCCCTTTCCACCAAGATAGAAGATAGAGCTGGAATTATAATATTATCCATCATTTATTATTACTGTTATCGTATATTATTGCTATTATTATTAATTCATAACCCTTATTGATCTGACTTGCTGCAGGCACCGAACTGCAACCTCTCCTGTTGGTTCAGTGCCAGGAAGGGAAGTCTATTATTCAGCTCCTCTGGGACTTAGGCAGGATTTCTGAGGAAAGGGTGGCTGCCTTCCAAGGAGCCTCCCTCCTCCTCCTCCCTTCCATTGCCCTTCAAGGGCAGATAGGAGACCCTTCCATCCACCTGTAATGGGATTAGAGCTGATTTTAAGTGCCTGGATTAGATGGATTATGGAAGTCTCCCTTTTTGGATCCATCTGGCAGCAGCTTCAAAGGGAAGAGTGCCAGCAGATCTCTCTTGAAGGGAAGAAGGCCTCTTCTTGAGGAGAAGGGTCTGACCACGCCCAGAGGCTGGATGGCCATCTCTCGGGAGTGCTTTAATTGTGCTTTTCCTGCAGGGCAAGGACTAGATGGCCCATGGGGTCTCTTCCAGCTCTATTATTATTATCATCATCATTAAACAGAGGCTGGAAGGCCATCTGTCAGGGGTGCTTTTCCTGCATGGCAGGGGGTTGGACTAGATGGCCCATGGGGTCTCTTCCAACTATTAATTATTATTGTTATTATTATTATTACTATCATAATATCAACATCATCAGCTGAGGCTGGATGGCCATCTGTCAGGGGTGCTTTGGTGGTGCTTTTCCGGCAGGGCAAGTTATTGGATTAGAAGGCCTATGGGGTCTCTTTCAATTCTATATTATTATTATTACTATCATCATCAAGCAGAGGCTGGATGGCCATCTGTGCTTTTCTACAGGGGAAGGGGTTGGACTAGATGGCCCATGAGGTTTCTACCAACTCTATTATTATTATTACTACTACTACTACTACTATCATAATCATTAAACAGAGGCTGGATGGCCATCTGTCAGGGGTGCTTTGATTGTGCTTTTCCTGCATGGCACGGAGTTGGATTAGATAGCCCATGGGGTCTCTTCCAACTCTTATTATTATTATTATCATCATCATCAAACAGAGGCTGGCCATCTGTCAGGGGTGCTTTGGTGGTGCTTTTCCAGCAGGGGAAGGGGTTGGACTAGATGGCCCATGGGGTCTCTTCCAACTCTATTATTATTACCATACAGAGTGTGGATGGCCATCTGTCAGGGGTGCTTTGATTGTGCTTTTCCTGCATGGCAAGAGGTTGGACTAGATGGCCCATGGGGGTCTCTTCCAACTCTATTTATTATTATTATCATCATCATCAAACAGAGGCTGGATGGCCATCTGTCAGGGGTGTTTTTGGTGGTGCTTTTCCTGCAGGACAAGGGGTTGGACTAGATGGCCCATGAGGTGTCTTCCAACTCTATTTACTATTATTATTATTAGAGGCTGGATGGCCATCTGTCAGGGGTGCTTTGATTGTGCTTTTCCTGCAGGGGAAGGGGTTGGACTAGATGGCCCATATGATCTCTTCCAACTCTATTATTATTATTATCATACAGAGTGTGGATGGCCATCTGTCAGGGGTGCTTTGATTGTGCTCTTCCTGTATGGCAAGAGGTTGGACTAGATGGTCCATGTGGTCTCCTCCAATTCTATTTACTATTATTATTATTATCAAACAGAGGCTGGATGGCCATCTGTCAGGGGTGCTTTGATTGTGCTTTCCCTGCATGGCCCACGTGGTCTCTTCCGACTAGGATTCTGTAAGTGCGATAGTAATACTACAACTCCTACCAAGCGTAATAATGCCTGTGTGTGCCTAGGCTCTCCCTGGAGACACCTTAAACGCAGACCAAAGTGCATGAGAGGTTATATCAGAGGTTATACAACGGTGGCCCTGCCCTGCCTTGCCCGGGAATGTTGGCTCCGCTTTATGTAAGCGCTGAAGAAGAAGCCACCCGTTACAAAACCCCGTTCGTTCGTTCGTTTGCCCGTCCTTTGGCCCTGGGGCCCGCCTCCCTCCCTGACTCACCACCGAATGATGGAAGAGCAGCTCCCAGCACTGCTGCAGCGTCTGGTTGCTGGCCATGTCCACAAAGTCCTGGAGGAAGTACCCTAAAGAGAAGGAGAAGAGCAGCATTGACGCAGCCCGGCCCAAGCAATTCCCTTCTCTCCTGCTTTTGCCCCCAGGACAGGAGCCCTATCTCATCTGCGGATGCAATTTGCGGGAAGTGCGCCTCCTTTTTGAGGGCTTTTTAATTGCGCTCCTGATGGGGCGCTTTGATCTTCACCCCAACTTTGAGGGAAAGCCTCCTGGGCCCCTTCTTTGTGCCGAGGGTGGGGCAGCACACGCTCCCTCTCCTTCCAACGAACCAGAAGCACACCTGGAGCTTGAAGGGCTGAAGACAGAGGCTTGAAGGGGGAGAGAGGCCCCTTCCACACAGCTGTGCAAAACCCACATTGAACTAGATTGTACAACAGTGTGGACAAAGCAGCTCAAAGCAGATATTGTGGTTGTATGGCTGTGTCAAAGGGCCCAAAAAGGGTGATAGAAGCCCCCCTGCCAAAGGGGTTGGGCCTGGGTCTGTTTTAGCCCGTCTCCAGAGGTCCTGTTTCTCCAAGAACACTGGGTCCCCAGGTGTGTTGGCCTTCAACTCCCAGAAATCCTGGGAATTGTGGGAGTTGTAGGCCAAAATACCTGGGGACTCGTGGGTTGAGAACCACTGGGTCAGAAGAAAGGAAGGAAAGAAGGAAGAGAGGAGGGAAAACAGGAAGGAAAGGAGAGGGAAGAAAAGGGGGAAGGAAGGAAGGGAGAAAGGAAGGAGGGACGGAAGGAGGGAAAAAAGGGGAGAGGAAAGACAGGTTAGGAAGAAAAAGGAAGGGAGGAAGGAAAAAAGGGAGAGAAAGGAAGAAAAGAAAGAAGGAGGGAAAGAAAGGAGGGGAAAAAGGAAGGAAGGAAGAAAGGAAGGAAAGGAGGGAAAGCAGGGAGGAAAGGCAGAAGGAAGGAAAGAAAAGGGAAGAAAAGGGGGAAGGAAGGAGGAAAAAGGGGAGAGGAAAGAAAGGAAGGAAAGAAGAGGAAAGGGAAGGAGAGGGAAAGGAGAAGAGAGGGAGCATGGAAAAGGGGAAAAGGTATGAAAGGAAGGCAGGAAAGAGAAAAAAGGAAGGGAAGAAAGAGGGGATGAAGGAAGGAAGGAAAGAGAAAAAGAAGGGAAGAGGAAGGAAAGGAAAGAAAGAAGAGAGGAAAGCAAAGGAAGAAGAAAGGAAGCAAAGAGAGTGGGAGAAGGTGTATGAGGAAAACAGAGGAAGGAAAGAAGGAGCCTTAAAGAGAACCTGCTCTGTGTTGCCAGAGGAAGGAAAGAGAAGAGAAGGAAGAAGAGGAAAGAAAGAAAGAAAAAGGAGGATAGAAGGAAAAGCGAGGCAAGAAGAGGGAAGAAATTGAGGAAGAAAGGCGGGAAAGGAAGAAACGCATACAAGCGAAAGACTCGAATCTGGGCAGGGCCACCCGTGGGGGGTGAAGTGTCCAGTGGGCTAAGGGGGGGGGGGCGCTGAGAGCATGGGCGCGGCTGTTGTTTTCCCGGAAGCCGCGGTGCCACCCACCGAGGGAGACGCCGAGGAGGCGGTGGGAGGCGGGCGGGTGCCCCTCGATGAGGTCCTGGGCCATGCTCGGGTGCAGCGCGAACCTGAAAGAGGAAGAAGAAAGGAAGGGACAGTTAGGAAACAGGCCTGGGGCAAGCTTGGGCCCTCCAGGGGGCTTTGGACTTCAATTCCCACAATTCCTAACAGCCAATTGTGGGAGTTGAAGTCCAAAGCCCCCTGGAGGGCCCAAGCTTGCGCATGCGCACTAAGGAGTGTGTTTCCCCTCAAGACTGACCCGAGGAGTGCGCCTGCGCTGCTGAGGAGGCTGTGGGCCAGCGAGGTCCAGAGGTTCCGCCACTTCCACGGGTTCCCCCTCGCCGGGGAAGGAGCCAGCCGCTCGAGCCCGGCGTTGAGCAGCCGGAAAGCGCCCGCCGAGACCCCCACCAGCGCCACGCCGCTCTCCATGCCCAGGCCTCCGCTCGAATGAGGAGCGGCTCCCCTCGCCTCAGCCTCCCGCTCGACGCCCATTGGCTGGCTCCGCCCCGTCGCCATGGAGACCAGGACTCGCCCCTCAGGCGACGCTCGACGCCCGTTGGCTGGCTACACCCCGTCGCCATGGAAACGAGCGCGAAGCCACGCCTACTCACGCCACAGGCGGAAGGAGAGGTTAACGAGGGGCGGAGCCGCCGCCAAGCCACGCCCACTCGCTCCACAGGGGCGGGGAAAGAGCACAAACCACGCCCCTCTATATGGAAAGGGGCGGGGTCTCGAAAAAGCCACACCTATTATGATCATAATTCAACCCAGAAGGGGGCGGGGTCGCCCCAAAACCACGCCCACGCAAGCAACACAAAGTAAAAAAGTTGAAAGCCACGCCCCCCGGTGGGAGGAGTCTCATTTCGAGGTGGGCGGGGCCTCCACAAAGCCACGCCCACGCAAAAAAGCCAGAGTTAAAAGCCACGCCCTTGTGGGAGGAGTCTTATTTCGAGGTGGGCGGGGTCACCCCAAAGCCACGCCCACTCAAGCAATAAAGAGTAAAAAGCCACGCCCTTGTGGGAGGAGTCTTATTTTGAGGTGGGCGGGGTTAACCCAAAGCCACGCCCACTCAATCCAGAAAGGGTTGAAGGCCACGCCCCTTGTGAGAGGAGTTTTTTTCGAGGTGGCAGGGGTCGACACAGAGCCACGCCCACACAAGCAAAAAAGAGCAAAAAAGTTGAAAGCCACGCCCCTTGTGGGAGGAGTCTTGTTTCGTTATGGGCGGAGTCACCACAAAGCCACGCCCACTCAAGCCATAAAGAGCTAAAAAGTGGAAAGCCACGCCCCCAGTGGGAGGGGTCTTATTTCGAGGGGGAAGGGTCGAACCAAAGCCACGCCCACTCAAGCCACAAAGTAAAAAAGTTGAAAGCCACGCCCCCCAGTGGGAGGAGTCTTTTTGAGGTGGGCGGTGTCTCCACAGAGCCACGCCCACTCACTCACAATAGAGTTAACGTCCACGCCCATGTGGGAGGGGCCCTATGGGGGAGGGCGTGGTCTATGCAGAGTCACACCCATTTTTCGTCACTGCGGTGCTAAATAGAGGCGGGTTAAAATAATGGAGCCACGCCCCTTTGGGGGGCGGGGCCGTATTGGAATGTGGCCGAAGCCACGCCTATTCTATATGAATATATAGTGAATATTTATTTATTTATTATTGTTATTCTTTTTATTTATTTATATTATTATTATTATACTATTATTTATTTTTATTATTATTTTATCTATTTTATATATAATTATTATTTATTTTTATTTTATCCATTTTATTTATTTATATTATTATTAGTTTATGTATATATTATTATTTATTTTATTATTCTTTTATCTATTTTATTTATTTATATATTTTTATTATTTATTTTTCTTATTATTTTATCTGTTTTATTTATAAATTATTGTTATTTATTTTTATTTATCCATTTTATTTATTTATATATTATTATTAATTATTATTATTATTTTATTTATATATTATTATTTATTTTATTATTCTTTTTTTTTTTTTTTTTTTTTTATCTATTTTATTTATTTATATATTTGTATTTATTATTTTATTTTATCTATTTTATTTGTTTATTTTATTTTTTATTTTTTATTTTTATTATATTTTATGTATTTTATTTATTTATAATATTATTATTTTATTTATATATTTTTTTTTATTATATTATTATTTTATTTATTTTATTTATATATTATTATTTATTTTATTATTCTTTTATCTATTTTATTTATTTATGTATTATTATTATTTTATTTATATATTATTATTATTTATTTTTTATTATTTTATTTATTTATTTATTTATTTATTAGCGAATATCATCCCACATCAAGAGGGGCGGGGTCACCCGCAAAGCCACGCCCACTCTTCACAGTCGGTGTTAAATAGGGCCGGGTTATAATAACAAAGCCACGCCCCTTTCATTGAGAGGGGAGGAGTCTCCTCAAAGCCACGCCCACTCAATTCACTAGAATCAAAAGCCATGCCCCGGTGGGAGGAGTCTTCGCGAAGCCACGCCTACTCACGCCACAGGCGGTTTTAACTAAGGGCGGGTTGAAATGACGAAGCCACGCCCCTCACTCTTCCGTGGGCGGAGTTTAACAAAGTGACGTCGTGGGCTTCCCCAAAGGAGAAGAAGAAGCAGGGCTGTGAGGGGGCGGGCCTAAGCCTTGGTTGCCAGGAAACGCCCTCCTGATTGACTGACTGGGGCCTTGTGCAAGAAGGGAGGGGGAGGAAGAGGAGGGAACCGGTTTTCGGGGCTCATTTGCCACCATTGGGAGCAAGGAGGAGAAGGAGCCATGCACAGACAGGTAGGAATTGGGGGGGATAGGCCTTCAATGTGTCCTACCTGGCAGGGTTGGTTTACCTGCCTTCCCTTTTGCCATTTGTCCATTTACCTGTCCAGGTGACTTTCCAACTGCCCGGGTGTGACGCACCTCTCCAGGTAAATGGATGGAGATGCCGAGGCTGATGCTAGACAACCTCCTCCCATTGCAGACTAATCCCCCTCTTTTACTGACTGGGTGACCTATCCAGGTGACTCGCACCTGTCCAGGTGATGCTCACCTGTCCAGGTAAATGATTGATGCCAATGGGTCCACTAGACACCCCCTCCCATTGCAGACTAATCCCCCTCTTTTACTGACTGGGTGACCTATCCAGGTGACCCGCACCTGTCCAGGTAACCCGCACCTGTCCAGGTGACCCGCACCTGTCCAGGTAAATGATTGATGCCAATGGGTCCACTAGTCAGCCCCCCTCCCATTGCAGACTAATCCCCCTTCCTCTTTTGCTGACTCGGCAACCCATCCAGGTGACTCACACCTGTACAGGTAAACGGATGGAGTTGCTAAGTTTGATGCTAGACAACCACCTCCTATTGCAGACTAATATCGCCCTTCCTCTTTTGCTGACTGGGTGAGCTATTCTGATGAATTAAACCTGTACAGGTGACTCTTTTGCTAACTTGCTGATCCATCCAGGTGACTTGAGCCTGTCCAGGTGAATCACACCTGTCCAGGGAAATAGATGGAGTTGCTGAGGGGGACACTAGACACCCCCTCCCATTGCAGACTAGTCTCCCCCGTCCTCTTTTGCTGACTTGGTGATCCATCCAGGTGACTCGAACCTGTCCAGGTCACTCACACCTGTCTAGGTAAATGAATGGAGACTCCCATTGCAGACTAATCTCCCTCTTTTATTGATTGGGTGACCTATCCAGGTGCTTGGGTGTCCTATCAAGGTGATGCGCACCTGTACAGGTAAATGAATGATGCCAATGGGTCCCCCTCCCATTTCTGACTAGTCTCCCCCTTCTTTTTTTGCTGACTCAGTGATCCATCCAGGTGAGTCATACCTGTATAGGTAAATGGATGGAGATACCAATGGGACCACTAGACAGCCCTCTCCCATTGCAAACTAGTCTCCCCCTTCCTCTTTTGTTTACTGGGTGACCTATCTAGGTACCTGTGTGACCTATCCAGGTGACTTGCACCTGTACAGGTAAATGGATGGAGATCCCAATGGGGCCATTAGACAACTCCTTTCCACTGCAGACTAGTCTCCCCTTTCTCTTTAACTGACTGGGTGACCTATCCAGGTGACTCACACCTGTACAGGTGACTTTCACCTCTCCAGGTAAACTGATGGAGATGCCAAGGAGGACACTAGAGAATCCCCTTCCATTGCAGACTAGTCTCCCCTTCTTCTTTTGCTGACTAGGTGACCTATCCAGGTGACCTGAAGCTGTCCAGGTGACTTGCACCTGTACAGGTAAATGGATGGAGATGCCAAGGAGGCCACTACATAACCCTCTCCCATTGCAGACTAGTCTCTCCTTTCTCTTTTACTATCTGACCGGGTGACCCATCTAGGTGACTTGCACCTATCCAGGTAAGTGGATGATGCCGAGGAGGCCCTCCCTCACATTGCAGACTAGCCTCCCCCTTCCTCTTTTCCTATCTAACTGGGTGACCCCTCCAGGTTCCTGGGTGACCTAGCCAGGTGACTTGCACCTGTCCAGGTAAACGTATGATGCCGAGGAAGCCACTAGACAACTCCCTTCCATTGCAGACTAGTCTCCCCCTTCTTCTTTTCCTATCTAACTGGGTGACCCCTCCAGGTTCCTGGGTGACCTGTCCAGGTGACTTGCACCTGTCCAGGTAAATGGATGATGCCGAGGAGGCCACTAGACAATCCCCTCCCTCCCATTGCAGACTAGCCTCCCCCTTCCTCTTTTACTATCTAACTGGGTGACCCATCCAGGTTCCTGGGTGACCTATCCAGGTGACTTGCACCTGTCCAGGTAAATGTATGATGCCGAAGAAGCAACTAGACAACTCCCTTCCATTGCAGACTAGTCTCTCCCTTCTTCTTTTACTATCTAACTGGGTGACCCATCCAGGTTCCAGGGTGACCTATCCAGGTGACTCGCACCTGTCCAGGTAAATGGATGATGCCGAGGAGGCCACTAGACAACCCCCTCCCTCCCATTGCAGACTAGTCTACCCCTTCCATTTTTACTATCTGACTGGGCGACCCATCCAGGTGACTCACACCTGTCCAGGTGGCCTATCCAGGTGAGCCCCCTGCTCCTCCTCCTCCTCTTCCCGACTGGGTGTGGTGCCCATGACCGCACTCTGGACATGCCCAGGCGCCGAGTCCCCGGACCGGAATGCCTTGAGGGTGGCATCACCTGAGGAAGAGGGGGGGAGGGGACACGCCCAGAAGCAGGTGACGGGATAATTGCACCCTTCAAGCACACCTGCAACAATGTATTTCTCTTTGCTTTGCATACGAGGGACTCAAAGCCATTGAATAGTGGGGGGGGGGGTTCCCATATTATTAGTATTATTATCACTAATTGTGCCCCCTCCCCAAATAATAATAATATCCCCACAGAAAGGAAACATGGAGGAATTGGGGGACACGGCCGTCACGCAACAGGTGTGCCGAGCGGAGGAGATGGCCGACGGGGAGTGAGTACCGCTATCCTTTTGGGGAGGGGGATATACATATATAGGGGAGCCCTATAGGGGGCAATACAGTATGCTGAGGCTATGAATGCGTTCCAGGTTGCGCGAGGTGGAGGTGGCGGGCTGGCCGGTGGTCCTGGCGAAGGAGGGGGTGCGCTTCTGGGCGGTGGGGGGCCGCTGTCCGCACGCAGGGGGTCCCCTCTCCAAAGGTGAGTGCCCCTCCTTTTTCTATAAGGGATTTTTGGGGGGTCCTAACACTTACCTGCCTGGAGGCTCACCTGTGCCTGCTTTCACCTTCCAGGTTACCTGTCGGGAGACCGACTGCGCTGCCCTTGGCACGGCGCCTGCTTTAGCGTCCAGACGGGGGACATTGAGGAGTTCCCCACCCTGGACTGCCTCCCGACCTTCAAGGTGAGACCCACAGAGGCTATCCAGCCCCGCCCCACCCCACCCCACATTGATGCCCTCCCGACAGGTGGCCATCCATTCTTCGTCTTGTTAATATTATCCATCTTAATATTAGTGTTAATTTTATTCATGTTTATATTATTATTGATTTTTTTCATGCAAATATTTTTATTGATTTTTTATTAATATTATTTATTATTAATGTATTTTTATTATATAACATATTATTATAACATTATTATTCTATTATTATTCTATTATTGCAATTATTCTATTATCCATTCTTCTTCTTATTATTATATAAGATTATATTATTATAATTCTATTATCTATTAGTTATTATTGTATTATCTATTATTATTATTCTATTATCATTCTATTATTGTTATTATTCTATTATCCATTATTCTTATATAAAATTATATTATTATAATTCTATTATCTATTATTATTATTCTATTATTATACTATCTATTAGTTATCATTCTATCTATTATTATTATTCTATTATTATTATATTATCCAATCTTATATAAGATTATATTATTATAATTCTATTATCTATTAGTTATAATTCTATTATTATTATTCTATTATTGTTATTATTCTATTATCCATTATTATATAAAATTATATTATTATATTTCTATTATCTATTAGTTATTATTCTATTGTCTATTATTATAATTATTATTATTCTATTATTGTTATTATTCTATTATCCATTATTCTTATATAAAATTATATTATTATAATTCTATTATCTATTAGTTATTATTCTATTATCTATTATTATTATTCTATTATCGTTCTATTATTGTTATTCTATTATCCATTATTCTTATATAAGATTATATTATTATTATTATTCTATTATCTATTAGTTATCATCCTATTATTCATGATTATTATTCTATTATTGTTATTGTTCTATTATCCATTATTCTTATATAAGATTATATTATTATAATTCTACTATCTATTAGTTGTTATTATTCTATTATCTATTATTATTCTATTACTGTTATTATTCTATTATCCATTACTATTATTTGTATATAATATTATATTATTATAGTTCTATTATCTATTAGTTATTATTATTCTATTATTATTTTATTAGTATTCTATTATTATTATTATTATTATTCTATTATCCATCATTATTATTCTATCATCTATTATTATTACATTAGTATTCTATTATTATTCTATTATCCCTTATTATTATATAAATTATTCTATTATTATTCTATTATCCATTATTGTTATTATATAATATATTATTACGTTGTCATTCTATTATCCATTATGGTTATTATTATTCTATTATCTATTATTAATCTATTATCCATTACTAATATTCTTATATAATATTATATTATTATAGTTCTATTATCTATTAGTTATTATTATTCTATTATCTATTATTATATTAATATTCTATTGTTATTATTATTCTATTATCCATCATTATTATTGTCATCTGTTATTATTATATTAGTATTCTACTATTATTGTTATTATTTTATCCATTATTATTATTTTTATTATATAAATTATATTATTATTCTATTATTGTTATTATACAATATATTATTATATTGCCATTCTATTATACATTATTATTATTCTATTATCTATTATTATTATTTTATTAGTCTTCTATTATTGTTTTTATTATTCTATTATTTATATTATTATTTTATTAGTATTCTATTACTGTTTTTATTAATCTATTTATATTATTATTATTCTATTTATATTATTATTATTATTATTATTATTATTATTATTATTATTATCATCCAGGAGCCCCCGGTGACACAGCTAGACTTAATGTCAGGGGAACCATAGCCTTGGGAGGGACCCTCAGAGACTATCTAGTCCATCCCTCCTTGAGCCAGAAAGGAAGCCCTCCCGACAGATGGCCATTTAGCCTCAATGTCCTTGAATTCTCGTTGCAGGTGGATGTGGACGAGGGCCAGGTGTACATCACTGCGAAACTGAAGGTGAGGCGACACACCTTTCCCCAGGTAGACACCTTTGGGGTCGCATTGGGGTCACTTTGCCTGAGTCTTCTCGTTTTCCGAATAGGATCTGGAACGCGGCCGGCGGCTCAAGCTTATGACCAAAAGGGACCCCCTTGACCCTCGCACGGTGCTGCTCCTGGGCGCAGGTGAGGTCACCTAGAAGGGAGTCAGGGCTCAAAGAGTGACCGCTTGACCAGCTGACCACCCCCCCCCCCCATTTATTGCCAGGTCCGGCGGCCCTGACTTGCGCGGAGACCCTTCGGCAGGAAGGCTTCTCCGGCCGGATCGTCATGGTCACTCGAGAGGGACACCTGCCGTATGACCGGACCAAGCTCAGCAAGGTGATATATCGTTGGGGGGGGATCATGGCCAGTGATGTACATGCTATGTGTACACGCTATGGAACGGGTAACACGGGTCTCCTCTTTGGCAGGACCTCGGGGTCCGAGCCGAGGACATCTTGCTGCGGCCGCAGAGCTTCATGGAGACGTACGGCATCGAAGTCTGGAAGCAGAAAGAGGTGCAAAAGGATTATTATTATTTATCATTATTATTATAATATTTATTATTAATAATCATTATTATCATAATATTTATTATTATTATTAGTTATCATCATTATTATTAGAGTGGGAGGAGACCCCCAAAGGCCATCCAGTCCACCCCCTTCTGCCATTTTGCAGGGACACCATTCGATCCCTCCCGACAGATGGCCGTCCACATCATCCACTGCTCTGTTTCTTCCTTTTGCCCTTGTGTTTGGCCTCTGCAGGTGGTCTCCATCAATCCGGACGACAAAGTGGCCCAGTTTAGCGATGGGACGTCTCAGGGATATGACAACCTGCTGATAGCCACCGGGAGCAGGTCAGTGGGGGTCCCTTCCAAGGAGAATACTACTACTAGTAGTAGTAGTAGTGGTAGTAGTAGTAATAATAATAATAATAGCAATAATAATACTAATACTACTAATGATAGTAATAATAATAGTAAAAATAATAGCAATAATATTAATTCTGATACTGATAACACTAATACTACTAATGATAGCAATAATAATAGTAAAAATAATAGTACTAATACTGATAATACTAATGCCACCAATAATAGTAGTAATAATAAAAATAATAGTACTATTACTGATTATTTATTTATCGTGTCATCCGCAACCAGAACACTGTACCACATTTCTAACAGAACAAAGCAAACAAAACTATTAATGATAATACTAATAGTAAAACTATTACTGATAATACGAATTCTTCAAATAGTAATACTAATAATAATAATAGCAATAATAGTACTAATACTGATAATACTAATACCACTAATAATAGTAATAATAATAATAGTATTATTACTTATAATACGAATTCTACTAATAGTAATACTACTAAAAAAGTAAAAATAATAGCAATAATAGTACTAATACTGATAATACTAATACCACCAATAATAACAATAACAATAATAGTACTATTACTGATAGTATGAATTATACTAATAGTAATGCTAATAATAATAGTAAAAAGAATAGCAATAATAGTACTAATACTGATAATACTAATACTACCAATAGTAGTAATAATAACAATAATAGTACTATTACTGATAATACAAATTCTACTAATTGTAATACTACTAATAATAGTAAAAATAACAGCAATAATAGCACTAATACTGATAATACTAATGCCACCAATAATAGTAGTAATAATGACAATAATAGTACTAGTACTGATAATACGAATTCTACGAATAGTAATACTACTAATAATAGTAAAAATAGCAATAATAGTACTAATACGGAGAATACTAATACTACCAATAGTAGTAATAATAACAATAATAGTACTAGTACTGATAATACGAATTCTACTAACAGTAATACTACTAATAATAGTAAAAATAATAGCAGTAATAGTACTAATACTGATAATACTAATATCACTAATAATGTACTAATAATAACAATAATAGTACTAGTACTGATAATACAAATTCTATGAATAGTAATACTAATAATAATAATAATAATAATAGTAAAAGTAATAATAGTACTAATACTGATAATACTAATAATAGTAGTAATAATAATATTACTATTACTGATAATAGGAATTCTACTAATAGTAATACTACTAATAATAGTAAAAAGAATAGTAATAATAGCACTAATAATAATAGCAAAAATAATAGCAATAATACTAATTCTGATACTGATAATACTAATACTACTAATAGTAATAAAATAGTACTAATAATAGCAATAATAGTACTAATCCTGATAATACTAATACCACAAATAGTAGTAAAATAGTAAAAATAATAGCAATAATCATACTAATACTGATAATATTACTACTACTAATAATAATAATAATAATGAAAGAGTACTAATAGCAATAATTGTACTAACACTGATAATGCTAATACTACTACTGATAATAATAACAGTAAAAACAATAGCAATAATAATACTAATACTGATAATACAAATGCTACTAATAATAGTAAAAATAATAATAATAGTACTAATACTGATAATACTGATACAACTAATAATAGTAATAAAAAGTACTAATAATAGCAATAATAGTAATACTGATAATACTAATAGTAATTGTAATGATAGTAGTAAAAATAATAGCAATAATTACTAATGCTGATACTACTACTCATAGTAATACTACTGATAGCAATGCTAACAATAAAATAATACTAATTCAAGTAATACAATACTACTACTATCCCAGCTGAACTGTTTAAAATCTTAAAAGATGATGCTGTCAAGGTGATGCATGCCATTTGCCAGCAAAT